TTGAAAGATTTAAATGCTTTATTAACACTTTTACAAAGTAAAAGTGTTAGGCAGCACTTAAGCTACCTTTTTAACTTCATCTGGACCTCATTCACTTTCCAAAGTAAAATTTTCCACTCCATATTTTGTGTTTGGAAATAGAATTAGTTAAGTACTCTTTGTCTAGTTCTGCTTGATACGGTCATAAACAGTTAGATTGTAGTGCTGGAATGATGTTGTAGCTGTGATGGTGAGAAGAAAGGATTTTTATGGGTTATATCTTTTATTGGACAAACTGCATAGTTGGGAGAAGTTTAGGTAAGTTTTCAAATGCAGCACATTCTTCTTTAGGTCATCTTTAGGTTGTGGATTTTCCCTTGTAGTAAGTGGGATTTTTCTGTCGTAAGGCTGAGGTTAGCTGGTTGTATCTACAATATCTATGCAACACAACTTCATATTTAGAGATATTTTTTACCTATTGTAGCCAAGAGTACAGACACTATAACTTGAAAGCACTCAGCCAGATTCTCAGCTAATGTAAAACAGGGTCACTCCATTGACTTATCCATATTATATGGATTTACGTAATCTGAGATTCTAACCCCAATTTTCATCTTTTATGGACTCTACATTGGTTGTTACTGCACAAGAAAAGGGTCTGGGAGTCATTGGGGACAGTTCTCTAAAAACAGTTCAGTGCTTAGAAGCCATCAGAAAAGCAAACAGTGTTAGAGATTATTGGGGAAGGAATTGTAAACAAAACAGAAAGTATCATCGTATCCCGTTTATAAATGCATAGTGCATCCACACCTTGAATACTGTACCCAGTTCTGGTCCCTACCCCTCAGAAGGATATAGAACAGGGGTGGGCAAAATACGGGCCACAGGCTGGATTCAGGCCCATCAGGCACTTTAATCCGTCCTGCAGTGCCCACCAACGAATTGTACCCTACCCAGCCCTTCCACGCACGAGGATGGGAACAACACACCCATGAATACAGCCCCCACAACATAGCCTATTGAGCCTTGTTTCCACCCTTGTGGGCAAAAGGGCCTGACCCTGTCAGCATACAGCTTCCGGATGTGGCTGCTGCTGTGGGCTTCCCTGTGTCCCACTCACTCCAGGCAGCAGGTAAGGAAGCAGCAGGGGTGGGGCAGGAGTACGGAGCATGGGGCTGGGGCTGGCAGGAGCATGGAGCCTGGTTAGGCAATGTGTGGGTGTCAGAATGGGTGGGAGGGTGTGGGGAACCCCAGACGGTGTGCAGTTCTGGCAGGGAGCAGCGGCAGCAGCAGGCTGGGGCACTCTGGGTACTTGTGCCCAGTGCTAGTGCCTGGCTCTGGCCAGTGCTGCATATTGCAGTGAGGTGCACAGCCTGCACCAGGCCGTCTATTGCTGGCACTCCCTGCACTCACACCACATTGGAGGGAAGCCCCACACACTTGAGCAGCTGCCTTCCCCACTACAGCCAGGTCCAGCATGTGGGGCTTCCCTCCTGTGCCTCACCAGTGCAGGCAGTGCCACGATACAGATGGCCTGGCGGGGGCTGCGCTCCTTGCTGCAATGTGTGCTGGCTGGAGCCAGGCACCAGCTCACTGAGCACCCCCTTCTGCTGTGCCATGGGTGGAGTTTGGGGGGGTCCCCATACCCCTCCCACTGTCTCTCACCCCACAGATGCCACACACACCCTTCCCCCACAATCTTTCCACATATATACAACCTCCCAAGATACCCTATGCTCCCCCCCACACACCCACCGCACATGCACACAATATAAAAGACTAAGAATTTATTTTGAGTTATTATGCAATCACTTCTATGTATAGTACACAAGCACAAATCATGACAAAAATATTTTTTTTGTAATAAAATTAAAGTATGTTATAGTAGGTGTTTGATTTCTAGTGTATGATTTGGTTTTTCTCTGGTTCTAGAATGGCAACCCCCTCCCCAAAGGAGCATTTCTGGGGGGCAAGGGGAGGGACTTACCATGGCAAAGGTCAGGGGTTAGGGTGGGACTTCCAGTCCCAAGATGGTGACCAGGGGGCAGGGCAACTCTCAAGGGGCAGGGCTATCCCAGTGGCATACCGATGGGAGGGGGCCATGGCCCCTGGGTGCCGGGCGAGGTGGGGGTGTTAGCCAGGCCCTTCAGAGCTGGGCAGAGCAGCTGCAGCCACAGAGCCTCCCACGTTTGGTGTGTGACCTGTCCACCCACCCGGCGGGTTGTAGGTTTCTTTACCTGTTCTAGCTGCTGCCCCTTCCCCCTGCATCTGGTGTGCAGCAATGTTAATTTCCCCATACAAGTGCCGTGGGATGGGAGAGGGAGCTCTGCACCCTGGTCAGGTTGTCCCTGGAGCGGGGTGGTACAAATGCAGGCATTGGCCCACGGGTGCCGGTACGCTACTGGGCTACTTTTAATGCCCTCAAAAGCTCACCAAACCTCATTAAACAGCCTTCCACCTGAAATAATTGCCTGCTCCTGATATAGAAGAACTAGAGACGGTCCAGAGAAGGGCAACAAGGATGATTAGTGGTATGGAAGGGTTTCCATATGAGGGGAGACTAAAGAAGCTAGACCTGTTCGGTTTAGAAGAGAGATGCTTGAGGGGGGACATGATAAGGGTTTACAAAATACTAAATGGTAAAGAGAATGTAAATAGGATTTTATTATTTACTATCTCTCACAATACAAGAACTGGGGGTCACAAAATGAAACTAGTAGGTAGTAAGTTTAAAACTAGCAAAAAGGAAGTTTTTCCACATAGCATGTAATCAAAGTGTGGAACTCATTGCCACAGGATGTGGTAGAAGCTGATGGTTAACCAGATTTGAAAATGGATTGGACAAATTCTTGAAGGAAAGGTGCTTCAGTAGCTATTCAGTGTGGGAGTTAACAGTACAGCCTCTGAATTAGAGCTTCCTATATCTTAAATGCTGGAGTCTGCAAGTGAGAGAAGAGCAGTGGAAAAAACCCTGGTTATACCCTGTTCATTCACCCTTTCAGCATCCACTCTCTGCCAGTGTGTGACACAGGATACTGGGCAAGATGGACCCCCTAGTTTGACCTAGTAAATGGCGGTTCTTCTGTTCTTACATTTTTATAAATCTTGTTAGAACTACATCTAAGGATATGGACATATGAACAACTTATCCAAGGGCAGAAGGGGGCATAGCTTTACCATGTATTAACTGTTTGACAGAACTGCATGTGTGCATGCTCTTACCCCAGATAAGCTTAATCCTTAGTGTAACACAGCTGAGTAACCACAAGTTAACTTCCACTTAATGCAAGGAAAGAGCACATGCATGGACAGTTACTGCGGGGAAGCTAGTGCACAGTAGAGGTGTGCAAAATGAGCCCTATTCGATTTGGATTTGGCCGAATCACGGACAGTGATTTGATTTGTTGATTTGGATCACTGTCCCTGATTTGATTTGGCCGAATCTGAAGATTCAATGCTGATTCAGAGAATCAACGATTTGGACATAGACACAGCTTTAAATGTTTTTTCTACATACCTTGAGATACCAGGCTCGGCTCATGAATGCTGTGACGCTGAGGCAAATGGTGCATCCTGCAGGAACGTGGGGGGGGCCCTACATGTTCAGCAGCAAACCCGGAAGTACACTGTGGGGGCCCCCCCACCCTGCCCCTGGCTCAGTAATCGGCCACAGGGGACCCCAGGAACCCCCTAGACCCAGGAGGTACCAGTCGCTGAGCCAGGAGGGTGTGGGGGGGGTGCGCCCTGCACACTTCCTGGTAGACCTGGAAGTGGACTGGAAGTGCTTGTGGTCCACTTCTGGGTCTGCTGCTGAACGCGCTGGGGAGGCCCTTGCAATTCTGTGAGATGTTCCATGCACCCTAGCACTGCAGCATTCGTGAGCTGGCTGCTGCCTAGACGTATGTAGAAAAACATTTAAAGCTGTGTCTGTCCGAATCACCGAATCTCTCCAAATCAGTTCAGAGGGTTCTGATTCAATTCAGACAACTTAAAGGGTCCTCCTAGTTGATTCGGAGATTTGGCCACCGAATCGGGCTGAATCTCCACCAAATCGAATCAGGGACTGAAACTTTGCACAGCCCTAGTGCATAGTACAGTTCTGCCACCTCTTATCACAATACATTACTTGTATGTACGTTAACCTTGCTGTTAGTCCAATGAAGTACACTAACAAAAAAGTGTGCTTTATTTCCATTTATTTACTAATTACATTTGATAGGAGTTTATAAAACTGCTTCATACTTATTATTTTTCAGGTTCTTGCTATCTTGCAAACTCTGCAAAAAGGCTCCCCCCCCCCCCCCC